AGTATTTAATACTTACGTGGTGTACCTACAAGTTATTATAATTACTAAAGTCGCCATGCAATCATACAAGAAAATTATTAAAACTAGAGTTATTTCCAAGCAGAAAAATTTTGAGAGATTAGAATTTTGACCAATTTTTAAAATAGCGGTACCCGCCTTGTTATGAGCAGAACCGATGCGCAGATGGCTGACACGAAGGGACATGCATAATCTTTGACATGTAGTGTTTGTTGCCGGACGGGCAGACGACCTCAAAAGTGTTCCGCTCGTTCCAACTTGCATTTCTTTGCAAATACTTGCCGGATTTGAATAAAAAATAAACCCGTATTTTAAAGATAAACTGCCTTAGTTTTAAGATTTTTATTACATTGACACAATTTTCATTATTATGAATTGTCCATACACACATTGCCAATCCAAAGTATCGTTGCGTTATGCGCCCTTTTGAGATCGCATCAAGTCTCCAACCGCTTACACATAAAATTAACCGACCAACATGACCGCCAAACTGTGAGACCAAACTGTGAATGTAATTAACATTGAAGCAAGAAGTCAAGAAACGTCGTGGACCGACATAAGTTAAAGGTTCGTACAAGAAAAAGATTAGATATAAACTAGTCCAATGTTTTGAGTATGAATGTTATGATAGCTTAGCGGCAGTCGACAGTGAAAGATATTCATGTGGAATGACAGCTGTGCAGGTGGAAAAAAATGTAATTGTGAAAAGAATGACAAAGCCCAAGCCCTAGCTCTTAGTGAACTAAAATTGGGCTGTACAGGTGGAGGGTGAAATTTAACTACGGCTTTCAAAGCTTGGCTCACCTTTATATCTATATTTGTCGTGATATTTGCCATGATATTCATATATTCACGTTCTTAATTATTATATGTGAAAGCTCATGCAGAGATTATACGTGACCTCATACGTCTCATCATGAGATTATACGTGATCTATACATCTCATACGTGAAAGCTCATGCAGAGATTACACGTGACTCTCATACGTCTCATCATGAGATTATACGTGATCTATACATCTCATACGTGAAAGCTCATGCAGAGATTATACGTGATCTATACATCTCATACGTGAAAGCTCATGCAGAGATTACACGTGACTTCATACGTCTCATCATGAGATTATACGTGATCTATAAATCTCATACGTGAAAGCTCATGCAGAGATTAAAGGCCGGTTTACACAAGCAAAGTTTCTGTGCGTACAGTGACGTCATCGTGTATGAGCACAGTGTTTGAGCAGAACTTCTGACGTGTACACTGTCCAAGGTCAAAGCACAGTATTTCCTGTTGCACAGAAAACAGGTCAAATTTGGACGCCCGTAAACGGAAAGCGCTTCTTTGTTTTTTTTTATCAGCAGAAATGAATGAAACTTCGGTAGACATTGTAATTTTTTGACTTTCCGCCACTGATACAGCTTGAGTTTCCCACGCAATAGTCTCGCAAACCCACAAGTTGCGGCTTCTTTGAAGTTCAGTGTTCTAAGTTGAACACGCTGCACTTCGTTCAAAGCTCTTCAAAGTCTTCGCTCAAAGTCTTTGAGAGATTTTTGAAATTTAATTACGGCTTTCAAAGCTTGATGTCTTCGAAAGATTTTTGAAAATATGATAATTCTCCGCGAAAAACTAGGATCGCTTCTGGCCTATATGACCTACCAGTTCGCGCGAATAAATTCCCTAAGTGGGTTTTAAGCATTGCTACATATAAACACAAACAACACCGTTAATATCATTGGCGCTGTTTATTTTTGCGCTCGCGTGAGTATGGTTTTTGAGAATTTCTCAATATGATTTATAAATAAAATAAAATAAGATAATTTTATTATTTTATTATGATATATTAATATATTTTCACCTTAAATCGATTCCGAAGCCCCATTTACACTATACGCACAATTTTAGGCTTGGTACGGAGGAAATTGGTAAGGATGAAATTTGCCCCATTTTAGCAAAATTGAAATCATAGTATATAAATGGATAAAATTGGTACGTTTGAAATTTGACTATTTGGCAGTCTAAAATTTCATCCGTACCATTTTTTCGGTACCGTACCAAAATTTTGTGCGTATTGTAAAATATTACGCAGCTTGCGGTTTGATCTTTCACAGAACCAAGGATGATAAACAATGCCATGTGAATTGAACTCTGATTCGATTCCGGACTAATTTCAACTTCTCAAATAATAATCAATTTTAGCATGACACAGCTAAAAAATTTTGCCAAAAAATTAATAAACTATATGTAAATGCTCCCGCTAATTGAGCAAACATTTTAAGCACCAAAAATTGAATGATGCATGGGTCTAAAATTTTAATTAAGTTTTTAAAGGTTTTTCCGACGCCAAACGTGTAGTCAAAAGTGGTAAAAAGTTGAAGAAAATATTGAAAAGGCTTATTTAAAATATCATATTGTAGCATAGGCATGATTGTAAAACAATAAGACCAATTTAGTGATCGAATGCGCGTGTACATTATGTCATTATCCATGTTATATTGCAAGATCCTTGGACACATTTTACTTAAGTCCGTTTGCCACTATGCGTTTAATTTATTCGGGCGACGTGGCGAAATCTGAAATCCGGTAATGTGATTGAAAAATTTGCCGCGAAAGACTGGGATCGCTTCCTACTTTTTATCATTCCGCGCGAATAAATTCGCTTTGTGGAAAGTGGGCTTTAAGCATAGCTATATAAACACAGTCGTGGTCATATTATTTTCACTATGAATTGAGGATTTGTCAATAAGATTTATAAACAAAGAAGAAAAACAGCGCGGTTTCAATTAAAAGCACACGTTTCACGACGCCAAGAGTACTTTAAAACAAGTGGAAGACTCTTACATAATAGACTATTGATTTATAAATACGAGACGAAGAGCCATATGTTCAGTTTCAGAATGGCTGTCCTACTAAGAATTTGTGCGTTAGTTTTCATCTCAAGAATACTCCAGCCGGGTGAATGCTCAGTCGCCCAAGCCTTCTTTCGCAAAATTGATGGCAAATATTTAGCGAAACATGTAATCGAAACAATTCACGTTGAAACTGAGTTAGAATGCAGTATGCATTGTGTTGCTCATGGATCATGTGTGTCGGTTAACTACAAAACTTCTGGAATCGCTAAAGGTCGATGTGAGCTTAACAACAAGACCCTTCAAGACAGAATTGACGTTGATGAAAATATGAGCAACCCTGATTTCAAACATCTTTATATAATCAAAAAGGTTAGACCACAACAATTGATTTTCTGAAAGATATAAACGTTTATGAACTCAGCAGTTCTGAAAACTTTATCCATATTCAATGTTTACCCATCAGTTTCAATATCTTAATATGTATAATATTCTAAAAGAGAAATTTAATTATAATTGTTATAAGAGATATAGGATTTGAATGAGCAACACGTAGCATTTTTTCTCATATAGATATCTTCGAGACTAATTCCTACACGCTATACAAATCTTCCTACAGGTATGACAATTTATGGTTCATGCATGAAATATCGAAAATAAGGGCCTGAAAACTGATAAGTTAAAAAAAATGAAAAACGTGACTCCACCGCTTTTACACATTGATGAATTATTGATTGATTGAATTTATTGTATTGATGAAGACCCGGATTAACAAAAACACAAACAGTTAATATAGACCATTTGCATTATAGACCACTTTTTGCAAGATCTATGCAAGACAATCCAAACAAATAACCACAGCTGAAAAGAGCGTAACGAAATTAGTAAAAACGCAAAGTTTGGTTGCGAAATGTCGTAAAATAGCCTTGTAAAGTTTGCAAATTTGTATACTTTGGTTCAACGCACGGAAATTGTTACCATTTGGGGCCCGAATGTGATGACAATTCCCGTGCGTTAAACAAAAGTATACAGATTTGCAAATTTTGCAAGGCTATACTTTCCACATTTTACGACATTTCGCGACCAAACATTGCATTTTTACTAATTTTGATACGCTCTTTTCAGCTGTGGTCTATAGTCAGTAATGTATAATGTAAAAGGCCTATTAGGAAAAAGGATTATTCGTTTACACGTTTCATAGATTTCTTTATTAAATTCTGTACAATTCTGTTTTCCGAGTTTTTTTAAGAATTTCCAAGAAACGCTAAAAGTAAAGATACAGTACAATGTATTTAGTATAATGCCATGTATGCAGAAAAACTCAGACAACAAATTGTTAACGTAAGAGAATTCAGCAACCCGCCACAATTCAGTCTTATTTATGTTGTTTATAGCCTCTGCATTAACTGTTACACGATTCAATTATGCGGTAAGAAAAGATTGTTCATGGACCACGAAGTTTCAATTGCCAGATTAAGGCGGATTTCATCTCAAAATATCGTGCGGTCGATTTTTTGTGTTACTTTCTCGTCGTGCACTTTAGGATGAAATACACAGCCAGCCTGACGATTTAATCATGCTATGCTAATTTTATGTTATTATCATTATTCATTTCTTTAGAAATTCATCGTTTTCACAGTCATTTAACACCAAAATATTAGCATAGGATGACTAAATTGTCAGGCTGGCTATGCAAGTGGAACACACATTAAGCATGTAAATGAGTACTACTTTTCCTTATTGACTGTTTGGTAATGGTTTTGAACTCTTTTTTATACAGTGATCATTATTCTTTATTCGTCTATTAATGTTAGTGAAATTCAATAAGTAAAAGTACAAAACCTAAAATTGCCGTTACCCTGAACCTTGCCCACTGTTTGCAGATAGGAGGAAATGCATTAGAGCACAAGCGACGGACGATTTTGTCAATAATTTTTGGAATGACATTTTTCTCCACCTGATTCTTGTTGTTTTTCAAGCACGTTCAAGAAGCAACGAAAACCTTTGTCTTAATTTACAGGTATGCCGAAAAATGTCAACAAATCTTGCACGATTTTACGAACGAAGCACCCCCCGGCTTACAGTGGAATGTACTCCATAAAGCCTCAAGGACTCAACCTCACGGTTCGAGTATTTTGCGACATGACTTCAAAGAATGGTGTTGGTGTGACAGAGATCTGACATGACAGTGAATCAAGAACACTTGTGAAAGGATATGAAGATCCAGGCTCTTACAAACGAACGATCGAATATGACATTTCGATGGAAAAAATTGTTGCCATCATCAACGAGTCCAGGAATTGTGAGCAGTTTATTAAATATGAATGTTACGGTAGCAGCGTTCTTAGGTTCAACGATGCAGGTGAATCTTATGGTTGGTGGGTATCACGTCAAGGTTCAAAGATGAATTACTGGGGGGGAGCGGCAGTCAACAGTGGAAAGTGTTCATGTGGAATGACCAACAGCTGTGCAGGTGGAGAAAAGTGCAATTGCAACAAGAATGATCTGGTATGGCGTGAAGACAATGGATACCTGACAGACAAGAACACGCTCCCTGTTACTGAGTTGAGATTTGGTGATACTGGCATATATTCCGGTAAAGAGGAGAGTGGTTATTATACATTGGGTAAATTACGTTGCTGGGGATAGGAGATAGAATATCAAATAAACCTGATGTGATTGATATGATATTCTGACTTGATTAATCTAACTTTTATTATCTTCAACTTTTCAAACAAGACACATAACAAAACAGTCTTCATTCGATTAATAAATGTAGAACTGCATGCTTATTATAATATAATCAGTATAGACTTCAAAGGCTGATAAAAGCTTTAATTGTGTATGACAATCGTCACAATGCAATGCACGAACATAGAGACAATTTGTCGAAAACAAGATGGTGGTAGTGAGAAAACGCTAGTGATTTTCATCAATTATCTTAATTTAGTAAAAACTGTTGGAGTTAAAATCTTCCGTAGAACTGTTATTAATCTGGGTATTTAAACCTCATCTTGTGGCTGAATGCTTACTTGCTATGTTGGTTCAATTACTCATGGATTATTAATGATTTAATAAATAATGATCCTATCCACACAATCGTTATAGATAAGACAGAGAGTTATAAGGGGTTACACACATGGCAAGGAACTCAAGGTCTCCGCCAAACACGCGTAACTATGCAAATAATAACATACAAATGGCAAGTTGGCTGGGAGATAAACGAATTTTCATATTCGAAAATTCGAACGACTTTTTTGTTTTGATTTTTTTCTGGTTGCGAGTTTTCAGGACTGAGTATCAATAATTTCTTCTTATTGCCTGACGGTTCTCACAGAATAAAATATTTGGCAGCTAAGTCTCTCATCTTCATAGGTTACATATATTTAAGACTGCATGTCAAGTCTTCAAGTATATTTCGTATAATGAAACCGAAGAAAAATAAGGAAAATTAAGAACACAAAATTAGTTATGTGCTTTTATTTTCATGCAAAATATACATCAGATTTATGACTGCCGTTTGTCGCCTATTTTAAAATCATTATTTCTTAAAATGACATTAAAACATTCGCTGTAAATTATATGAAATAGCATATGCGTTATAATGGAAAAATACTTAGAAAATATAAATGAACAGAATTATTATAATTCGTTGAAGAAATGTGTGGGCATGCCAGGATAATTCCTATTTCACACTGTAAATAATCAATCGAGAGTCTCAACCTGTTTACTGAACTTGCATTGTCGGGCACATCCACCAAACACGCACACTCTGATTAATGACAAGAAGCTTAATTAGCAATACGAAAAATAAACAAATAACCCAAAGAACTAATTAAAAGGTATTGTCACTGGCTCAAAATATCGCAAGATAAAAAGTAAAAAAAATATGAAAAAAATGGTACCAGGCAGTATTCGAACATATTCCTCATAAGAACAAAACCCTTGGCCACTTAACACAACAGATCACCTGACCCAGGAGCGAAGTGCGACACCGGGGCAAAGCGAGACACTTTGTCTGTTTTGAATAAATTTTATTTTTGATAATATATTCAATTCAGGAAGTTTATCCAGCGTATTCTTAGAGATCTTCGCGGCTTTTTAATATGGCGGGGGAGTGTGTGGATGGCTAACAAGCTAACGGTCCTGTTACACGGTGCTATTTTTCTTGCAACTTGCAATGCAATTCTTCCTAATTACCGAATTATTGTCTTAATTACACTCCATGCCGTTTCTTACACTTACTTTTTGGGAACTCTCGAGTCTCGACTAATTTGGGAACTCTCGAGTCTCGACATTGCAACGTGTAAAGCCGGTTTTCCACTAGAGATATTTTTAGCGCGAAGCGACTTTATTCCTTTCTATTTGAGCAATTTATTCCAGATGGTTGCAGTTGAGAGCTCTCAAACAAAGGTAAAATGTCGCTTCGCGCGAAAAATATCGCTAGTGGAAAACCGGCTTAACAGGGCTTTAAATCTAGAGAGATAAAATTGCGCATCCTTTTGCAAATGGTGAACACGCGTTCGTGAGGGTAACAAATATATTAATATCCTTGTATGTTTGCATAGTGACAGTCGATAAGTAATTTAGCTTGGTACACCACGTACGTATCTAATACTGGAAAGCTTTTGTTAACCCAAGCCTTCATCAATGCAACAAATTCAATCAATCAATAATTAATTCATCAATCAATTGCAACTAGTTAGTAATTAACAACTAGTGCAACCAAATCCTGATATAACTACACGTTTATAGCAATAACATACAGCTAAAAATTCTTGCCAAAGTATGAATAAAAATAACCACGCCATTCTGCGATGAGATAAGTGTTCTTGATCAAACGTGAGCAAACATGAACAGACATTTTAAGCCCCAAACAGCAAACATTATAAATCATTACGTTATCACAGGCTTTTCCGATGCCAATTTCGTAGTTAAAAATGGCTAAAAATTATAAAACAATGTCGATGAAAAACAATAAGACGGATTAACGGATTCAATATAATGACTGTAAGCCAGAATCATCCCTATGGCTCATGCGAAGCAATTTCAAAATTAAATATATGCCTTCTGTAATCAGAGGCAAATACTGCAAATTCATTGGTTAAGAGGAGTTCGATTAATCATTAATCCTATTCGTTCTGTTACCAATATATATTTTATGCCCAGCATAAAAATAC